AAACTCACATACAAAACTGCAATAGCTCTCGTAAGCTGTAGAATAATATATGGGAAAAACTGGGGTCTAAACCCCAAAATGATCATATGGTTATACACAAGGTTGATAAGACCCATGATAACCTATGGCGCAGTGGCGTAGATAACCAAAACTGCGCAGGCCAGTGCAATAAGCTAACTCACTGACATTCAGCGGATTGCCTGTCTAAGTGCTACTGGGGCCATGCGCACTACGCCAACTGCAGCAATTATTAAATCTCACGTCACTGCACATCTTCATACAAGGAGAAACCAAGTCTGCTATGCACAGGCTAATGCAGGGACAAAACCCAATAAGCCAACTACATAGCGCCGATCACGCAAGTAAAAAAGGCATAATATTCTAGGTATGCCTACAGATAGAGCTCTAACCACACACAAATTTGAAAGAAATTTAAATTCAAATACCAGCCCGAGAATCCTGGAAACAGGAACCTCCCGTACAGGCTGAACTTGTCTGGTACACAGACGGTTCAAAAAACAAGGAAGGACCCGGTGCTGGGATCTATAGACCCAAGTCGAAAACAACGATTTGTTGAGTTTAGGAAAATATGCAACAGTGTTCCAGGCTGAACTAATAGCTATACAAAACTGTGTAAGAGAAATACTAAATCAGCAAGTATCAGGCAAAAGCCACATACTCTGATAGCCAAGCAGCTCTAAAGGCAATTCTCTCACCAGAAATCAAATCATGACTGGTGAAAGACTGTCTAGAAGACCTGGTAGAGCTAAGTAGTCAAAACAAAGTGACCCTATTCTGGGTGCCAGGCCATGAGGGATATTAGGGCAACAAAAAAGCCGACGAATTAGCCTGAGAAGGCTCAGATAAGGCCATGACAGCCCTCAAACCTTTATATGGAGTTGCTAAAGTATTTTTGAAGGCATCCATCAAACAATGGATGTAAAAAGAGTCTTAGAAAAGGTAAAACAACTATTCAAGACTGAGACAGGCCAAATCGTTAGAATAACAGTAGGTATTCTTATTGGACACTTTCGCCTTAGAAGGCGCATAAATGTTACCAATCCAGCAGAAGAAGCAACTTTGTGCAGGTTCTGTGAAGAAGAAGAGGAATCATCATTCCATGTCCTGTGCCAATATGAATGCCTGTCTAGAATGGGGTTTCTAACATTGGACGAAGAAAAGCCAAACGCATGCAACTACATGCGAGAGCAACTGTCAAAGACTGTCGTGGTGGATAAAGACAAAGAACTCCATGGTAATCTAATCTAACCTCTACTAAACGTGGAGAGCTCTCTACAGCTATTATTGAGCAAGTGGACTATTTATCGAGCTTACGTTAAATATACGGAGGGTTCGTATGAAGCGCCAGTTTCTTAAAGGCTCTTCACTGGGAACCTTGACAGTTACTCATAAATTTGGTTGGACGCATACACATGCATCTATAAATAATTTAACGTTGCTGATCCTTGATGTGTATAAAACCCACACACAGAATACATTTATAATTGATAAGGCAAGACAAAACGGTGTTACAATTTTATACTTGCCACCTCACTTTAGCCACCGTATAAAGCCACTAGATGTATCTTTTATGGCTCCTCTGCGCACTAGAGATTTTGGCTTAGAAACCACCCCAACCAATATGTTACTGAAAGTGAAGTTGCCTCTTTATTTGGCAAGGCGTGCCTAAGAGCATCAACACCCATTAATGCTATAAAAGGAGTTACATTGCTCCTGAAAATAATACCCCTTATCCTATAGTTTCTGAATAATTGGTTCGCACAAAGAGAACTACAAAGAAAAAATAAGAAAAACTGCTATTCTGACTAGTACTCCGTATAAGGAAGAGCTAGAAATTTACTTGTCAGAAAAAAAGAAGAGAAGAAAACTAACATCGGATCACTATGCAAGGAACAATCAACAAAGGTTCTGAATATAAAATAGAAAAAATTTAAAAAGAAAAAAAGTAGTAGTGAATCAGAGAGCGAAGCAGAAGGTGTTATATGTTTATACTATCATGCGATATATGCCAAAGATGATACTGTAAAAGTTGGGCCCATAATGGGCAACGACCTTGACGAGGATATTTTTATGTGTAATATCTGCCACGACCATTTGATTTTTTTATGTTTTTACATATCCCATTTTACCTTTGCTCTATTCCCGTTTGGGAAACTGCATTCATTTGTTTTCTTTTTGTTTTTAAACAATTTATTATTTAGTTTATTAATATATGTATGTATTTTCATAGAAAAAATGTGTTTTACTTAGTTACAGCAAATGTTCAACTTCTCCGAACTCATATTTTTTTCATGTAGATTACAAAGTTAAATATCCCATTTTAGGTTCACTTGTACCTACCATTTTGTAGAGTTGAACGAGTAAATGACGCAAATTGCATATTCTTAGCTCAAATGGTTACCTTAATAATTAATTTTAGAGTTATTGCAATCCGTAGTAAAAAGACGTTTTTTGAAAAATATTGAAATTTTCAATTAGTTCTAACCAATCAATATCGTATTAAAAACCATTTTGTGGGTTTTATTAAGTACATTCCAAATCACTATGGGTTTTTTAAAGATAATTAAGAATAACGTAGATATAGGCAGTTGAAGACAATCACAAAAAGTCGATAGATTCACTCCAGTTTTCTGACAAAAACGGTCAATAATTAAGACATCCAAACTAGGAATGTGAGACCGAGACAGACGATAGGCAACAAGGCAGCAACCTCTGCCGTGTTAATAGTCTCTTGCATCGGTCGCTTTATCCCAAATGGGCTTTGTTTAATTATATGTAATTCAGAAATACGGTCGTTTTTCGCCTGTCTTAGTCTCGCGTTCCCAAATGGTACCTTTATAGATTTAAAAACGTACATTGAATCAAATTGTCTTAGTAGAAAAAATTTTAATTTGATATTTAATAAACTATTTGTTTAGTAGAAGAAAAATATGAAAATGATTGAAACAATGTTAATAATAATTACATTTTACTAGCAGGGTATAAATTATTGAGAACTCTTTACTAAAAGCCAAAGAAACAATTATATATCTTTATTTTTTATTATTACTATTTATTTAACAATGTTATTTATGATTTAAATGTAAGACCATTAAAATTCCTGGTGTTGATTAAAAACATATTGTTGACTTTCCATATTGTTATCTTTTAGAAATTCTTGTGTTCTCGTTCATTATCTGAAAAAAAAAACAGACATTCAATTAATTTTTAACAATAAGAGATTTTTGTAATATCAATCATAAGTCACTATTAATTACTTAGATAAATTATCAAAGTAAAATACAATGTATCTTAAAATACTCTTGTACACACATATTTGAAGTGTTTCGTTTTTTCTATCAAATGTTTTCCGATCTATATACCTAAGCCCAGTCTCATAGTTTATTCCCTAACCGTACTATTTTTATTAAAAAATATATATTTTCCAGGTCTATTTATAACTTTCATACGGATCCTTTTGTTTTGCTTGTTCCAGACAATCTGATAGTTCGTCCCTGACGTTTAATATATTTTCCATTATTCTATTTACTGATTTTGCTGACTAGGAGGGCTAGAACTTGTAGCGCCCTGAATTAACGTATTCGGGGGTCAGATCGGGTGATGTTGCTTGCACTCTTACGTATCAGATACGGAATTTTTACATTCAATATGACTACGAAAATGTCCGCTTTGCTCCTATGTACACAGTGTGTAAAGTGTAGGCAGGGATTTTAAATTAGTTACATTTTTTATATTTTAAGAATACATATAAATTATGCTAAAAGTTAAGTCGATGATTTAGGTTCAATAATGTCGACAAATAATAATTTCAGTAACGTTACGTAATGTGCGAAAAGCATTTGAAGCTCGATTGTGTCATTGTATGGAAACAAATGGAAGTTTAAACACTAAATAAAATAATTTGTTATTGATTAATTCGTTGAGAAAGAAACTGAAATCGAAATTACTTAGATATAACTTGTAAAATTGCTCCATTAAAAAAACATGTGGGTGCTCATGGGGAGGAAACGATAAAAGTTAGAATAAGTATACATGCAAAAAGATTATTTTTTCGTAAAGGTATCTCCCATTTTATAATTTAGTGTGTATAGTTTTCATCGAAATTCCCTAAGAACAAGCTGTGTTCAGTGGCGGCTCGTGGGGGGGGGGGGGGTTCACAGTGACAGAAACTTTTAGTGTTTTAGAAAGTTTATAATATACCTTTCTAAAACACTGACAGTTTTTTACCTATATCTGTACCAGGATCTATATTCTACTACTGTGAACCCCCAAAATTTTGGTCATGAGCCAGCCCTGGCGGTGTTTATAAATATAACACCCTGATCATAAAAATAACACCCTAATCGTAAAAATAATACCCCGATTATAAAACACCCTGACAGTAAAAATTAATCAAATTGGCAAGAAATAAAAGGTAAAAACACATCTTGTCATCAAATCTAAAACATTTTTCATAGCATCAGAGTAAATCTTGACTTTTTTATGGATTTTTGTTCACAAAGTAAAAATGTAAAACTCTAATGTAACTGCATTTAGTTTTTTATATTCAAATAAATAGAATAAAACGACATATCACAAAAATACGAGCGACTGTTTCCCTTCAGAAAACAACTACTACTTTGGCTAATAGCGCAACAGGTATTGAGATATATTTAAAGGAAAAACAGCAGAGATAGAAATTTTATTTCAATATTCTACCTTCGATTTTCTTACTAAGGAGAACGTCATTCTTGGATCGGTTTCGTCCATTACCATTTTTACCACTTTACTTATTCTCTTCGTAATCAGCGTACTCGTATACTAGTAAAATTGGTATCTTTGCTAATTCCATTAAATACTGGAATTGAGAACCTATATATTTCTTGCTGATGAGTCCTAATAAGGACGAAGATGCTCCAAGAACGACTTCCTCCTTAGTAAGTAAAATGAAAAGTAGAGTGTTGAAATTAATTTCTATCTATTGTATGAAGATATTGGTACATTACCTATTTACATGATGTTCAATTATTATATTTTCTCATGCAAACTGGACAGCACTGACAAAATGGTGTCACGAGCGTTTCGTCAGGTTCACATTTAGGTTTTAAACATAAAACTGAATTGCAATCAACGGGCGTCATACAATCCTCAGGCACGCATTCAGGACAACATCCAGTCATTTTTTTAGCAACAAAATTAGATGGGCAATCTAATTTCTTACAGGTGAACATCGGGCATTCATCCAGTAATCTTGATAATTCTGGAACGCAAATCGGACAACACCTACAAGGATGTTTATTAGCAATTTCATCAGGTTTGCATTTCGGATTTCCACAAACAATTAAAGCACAATCTGCAGCTGTTTGACACTTCTGTGGTTCACAAACAGGGCAGCACTCACAAGGAGGAATTGTACGTTGTTGATAATACTGACATTCGATTTGTGGGCATATAACACCTTCGCAATCGTCATGTCCTTTGCAATTTTCTGGTACACATTGAGGACAACACTTACAAGGTAACGTTTTAGAGATTTGACCTTTAGGACAAGAAACATAATCACACAATACGGCTTCACATTCGGATGGTGTTTGGCAACCTTCTGGTAAGCAAACTGGACAGCATGTACAAGGTAATTTCCTGGCTGCTTCCCCTGGTTGACAATGCGGTGGTGGACATAGATGAAAATTACATTCCTCTGGTGATTTGCAATATGGCGGTTCGCAAACCGGGCAGCATTCGCATGGTTTAGTGACTGGAATTTGCCAAATTTTACAATTTAGTTCTGGACAGCCCATCAGTGAGCAATTCTGTTCGCTCAAGCAATTAATGAAGGAATAACTATTTTCGATGGTGTTTGAATTTATAAAAGAAATAAAAGTTAATATATAAATCATATGTATTTCCATAATTGCACTTATTTGTACACGAACTAAAAATTAACTAAAGAGTTTTTATTAAAGTTGAGATTAACAAAAAAATATCAACAGAAGTGACCTAATTGTTTTTGCAGTTTCAATTTTTATTTCATCAATTGATTCATAAAACTAATAAATTATAATAATTACATTTTTTTACTATCAGCCTAGTTTTTGTTTTTCATCGTGAATTAATAAAATGTGTCAACTTAATGATATTATTACACAGGGTTTTGTGAAATTCGACCAATAACGTTTTAAAGATTTTATTAATGATAAAATTAGATTAATAATAATAATAATAATCCCTAATTCATTGCCATACGAGTGAATTTCAACCCCTGAAGCTGACTGCGCTTGTGTGGGAAAGGGACGGTTATTATTATTATTTGCAGTGGCGCTCCGACGCGATTTAAAGATAATTGATGGTGCAATTTGACTTACAGGCGAGAAAAACCGGACAAGTTAGGAACATAATATTGGAATTCCCTAATATAACAAGTACTAGATAATTATACCCTATGTAAGTACAGTTAACGAAACAACATAAATGCTTTGCAATGACCAGCAAACAGACCTGACATGAACCCAATTGAAAAAATATGGGGCTTCATAGCCAAAAAAAAATATTAAAAAAACTTTAGGCAAGTAAACTGCGGTCAACAATGGGAAGTTATTGAAAATCTTGGGAAGAGCTAGTAGATTCCTACGACATGCGACCTTTAATTTTGTTCATGCAAAGAAGATTGGAAAATGTTGTGACAGCCAATGGCTCTGTAATAACACTGTTATTGAAGTAGCTGTTAAATTTCAAGATTATTGTCTTCAATTTCATTAGAAACCTTCTCTATACCTTGTTTGAAATATCTTTAAAGGCCGTTTTCATTGATATAACTCAACGACAAAAACTACTAGACTAATCCATTCATTCATAATTAAGCCCTGTTTGATTGCAATTATTCGGATTGTGTTTATTATTACGTAGACAGAGCTGACGCATTAGAAATAAGGAGACAGCTGCTAATTTGAGTGGGGGTGGTTTATCTGAGGAGCGAGCATGCATTAAATGAATGAATCAGTATTTTCGTCTACTACGCTTGCTTTACACTGCTATCACACTTCAACATCAATTGCGTACTTTCCGAATAAATACTATACAACTATAATAGTTACAATGAGAAAAAAGTGTATAATAAAATGATAATAACAGGCATTAAGAATGCAAATATACTTCCATAAAGCAATTTTGAAAGCCTTTGGTACGCTTTAGAGTCTTCCCAACAAACATTTTGTGTAGGTGAATAAAAGGATCAATAACCTTTACCCTCCAGTTGTAATGATGGCCTTTTAACTCTTAAGCTCTCTGCCCACTACAGCGTACCATACCATGACCATAACAGGAACGTGTCAGGCACGAAAGAAAGCACTCCGGTCACTACTATGCCCACTGCAGCGAATCAGCAGCTTTTTATCCTCACTTACAACATAGCTTGCTATAGACGGTCCGTGTATGAACCTGCAAAATATTCTCGCTGTGAAATTGTTGACGGTCCTGTCATGGCACGCTATGGTGTTGGCCGGTGACGGAACGGTCTAGTGGGCATTATCGCATATCAAAACATGCAAAGAATATTTGTTTGTATGTTTCGATACGGTTACGGTCCTAGTATGGTAAGGTGTAATGGGTAGAGACCTTTATAATTAAAAGGTCACTACGGTTGACATTTGAGCCGAAGTCACTTAGCCATCAAATCTAGTTAATAGGTCTCTATTTTCCCTTTATTATCTGGGAATAAATATATTGGCAATCAATGACCTATTGATGGGAAGTTAACGGGAAAATGTAACCCTTTTACCATTTAAAGCTACCATTTCGCAAGCCGAGGCAGAGACCGACTTCAAAACGCGCCGCGACAGCAAGGGATACACTAAACGGTCTCTTCACGTCTGAACACATGTAATTATATAAAACACATTTCGGTAGACGCGACAGGTGACATCAGATTTAGTATGGCAATATTTGCCGTCTCACAGGTGTCTCGGTCTCCTGTCGTTTGTCGCGAGTTCCCAAATGGTACCTTTATACGGGCTGTGACAGGCACACGACCAGACAGGCGATTAGATAGCGTCTCATTTACCAGTAGTAAGTTTAAACTATAAATTCTATGCTAAAACAGAAGGAATTCCATTATAGAATATTGTAGGCATTTTATTTAATTCAGCTATATAATATAATAATGTCTTCTACAAAAAGTATATTCATAAAATATTAACAACATGTAAAAATAAGAAATTATAATGATGTAGCAAGCGATCATCGGTGTATTCATCTATGAGCTCGGGACGGAACCCTCCTGGATAGTTAGGGGTGAGCCTCCGGCAGTTAAAAGCATTTTGACTTTTACCATCCCTTTACCCAATATAGGTATTTACCCTTCATAAAGCCATCATAAACCAATATAATGCTGGGCCAGTATCGAAACGCCAAAAGTAGGCTTCTATATTTTAATCGTCGCGTAAATTTTCCCTTTAATTACAGTCAATATCCCGGCAATTTATTGTTTGTTGGGTTACGCTTAGTCTAAATACCGAATTATAACCATAAACAATCCTTGCACCATACTCTCCCTTACTCTCACATAATAATCTCACAACTACGTAGATGACACCGTGAATGTTTGCAATTAGATTTTTGTAAACAACATTAGTCGTTTGAGTGTGTGCATAGAATAGATAATATCCATGTGATTGTAGAAAAAATTACTATTTTTTGATCCAATAAATTCTATAGAGGCTAATAGGAATAAAGAATATCTTGTTTCTAAATATTTTTTGATAGGTTCCATCATAGTTGGGACATCATCAGGTGGATGCAGATAAAAAAGATCAAGTCTGTTAAAATGTGAAATTTGTGAGAGTTAAAGTATATCATGACTTTTCAATTAATGACAAAAATAAATTAAGGTTGAAAAAATTTAAACTTGCCATACATATTACTAATTTTACATACTTAATGCCATTTTGGGATACAAACAGGACAGCATCTGCAAGGTAAATACACTTCTTGGTAACCCTTAATACAAGCTGGTTTAGCACATTTGACATCTTCGCATTCCTTGTTTGTTGGACAATAACTCGGAACAGGCAGTGTAAGACAGTGTGGACAACATCTACAAGGAAGCTTAATAAGTAACTCTTCATCATTGCAAACCACTGGTTGACAATGGGTTTTTTTACACTGCTCAGCTGTTGGACAGTCTTTTGGAACCACTTGACATTCTGGACAGCATTTGCATAGTTCTTTTACTAAATATTGATTAGCTGGACAAGGTATAAAGTCACATTTTATATTTTTGCATTCTGTTTCAGTAAAACAATGTTCTGTCGAAGATTTGTCACGTTTTTTGGCACTTACTGAAATAATTAAAATTGCAGTTAAAACAAAGCAATTTGATATTTTCATATTGACACGTAGGGAGATTGTGTAGTTAAATGTAATAGTGAAAATGTTTATAAATTGTTTTTGATTTAGATATCGGTATACATAGTGTTTCCTTTATAATTTAATATATTCGACAATTTGGATTTTATCCAGAGGAGTTCCTAATTATCATGAATGTGACTCTTATATTTGTCTTTGTCAATCATGACCTACTTTAGATCACTTGTAATTAAATTCCCAATTATTTTCTAATACCGATCGTCTATAATTTAAAATGGTACACCATGTATTCTCTCTCAACTTAGATTATTACATTATTATATAAATGGATATCTAAGTATTGGAACACAAATTGCTACAAAAATTAAACGAATCAATATGAACATTAACATTTGTTTGTTTTTAATAATAATCATCACAGTTTCGTCTGTAAATACTAAAAAACTACAAACAAAAGAAGAGTTTAAACATGTAAATAATTGTCCCCTGCCTAAATGTACTGCTCAAGAAATCCTTGCTGATAAACCTTGTAAATGCTGTCAAGATTTTTTTTCAATTCCAGAAACTTGTGAACGACTTAACTACAATGAAGTTGGCAATGGAGAACAATAACCCATTTTTGAACATTGAATATTTATTTACAAGTTTATTTAGTATATCAGTAGAAGCATTTTAATTTTACATTGTAAATATAATAAAAGTTATAAAAAAAAAACAGTTTTTTTTATTTACGTTCCACAAGATATTATAAAGATCTGACTATCTCTCTAGGCCTAGTAGTAAGTTAAAAAATAATGTCCGAATAGTAGTAAGTTAAAAAATAATGTCCGAAAACGCAAAATAAGTGTAAAACAACCCTTTGAAGAGGGTTTAAATTACCACTTTTTTAAAGATATCTTAAAAACTAACAAACCGATTTAAACCAAATTTTAAGAAGTTATTTAGAGTATTATTACAATTGCAACTACTCAAAGTATTGATGAATTTAAGCAGTGTGAACTTGTCTTTGTGGAGGGGAGTAAGCGCTGATATTGGGCGCCAGCGCCGGACGCTAACTTCACACAAGTGTGGCACATTCAAAATATAAAATTTTAGACAGTTGTGCTCTATTTAGAAATATAAGTTTATATAAATTTTCTATCTTATTTTCATCTGTATAATACGTTGTTAAAATATTTACCTCTAATTTTGTAAAACCCTATATAATCAAAACATTTATAAAGTTAGTTTTTTAACCGTATGTTTTCGTCCTTCATGCACTTTTACTTACGTATTTACATTTATTTTTGATAACTAAATAATATATAAACGATAAATAAAAGAGAGTAACTTATTCGAAAGTCAAGCCTATAGAAATCATGCTGAAACTGTATTTTCTTTTACTAATAACGATAACTGTTGTGTTCAAAAAATGTGAAAGCGTAGATAAATGTCAACCAGCATTAGAATGTGGTCCAAAAGATTGTCAACCATGTGGTTCCAATGAGTTTCCTTTATTTCAACGGTGTAAATGTTGTCCTACATGTATACCAATCAATAATTGTTTGACACCAAAGAATTGTGCTTCAGTACTTTGTCCTCAAATATTTTGTATCGCAGAATCAGTAAGCTACACTCCAAAATGCAGATGCTGTCCTACATGTCGTCCATTATTAAATTTTTAATATTTTTAATGTAGGAATCGATTTTTCTATTAGCTTTAAATATTATTTTATATTTTTTAATTGTAATAAATAAAAACAATTAAATATGGCTTTAGATTTTATTGACATATTATAAATAATAACGTTTTAGGAGTAGAATAATTTACATTTTTTATCATATATAAAACAAACAGTAATACAACTAAATAAATAGAACACATTGTTCAAATACATGACACTAATTTAAAATGTTTCATCTGTGTAACCCATTAAGACCATAAAGGTTGAGCATGGGGTACACCGATGATTTAAAAATATTTTACATAATGTTCTCTACACTAGACCTATAAATATAGATAATGTTCACTACTCTAATTTGGTTTTTTGTATTTATTTTATTTTGATATTAACATTTTTTTTCTTATTCATTTTAAGTAATTTTATCTTTAAATAAATAACTAATGATTAAAAACAAAAGTAATAGTATATTTCACGATTACAGTTTATATCATTTTTATTTTTTAAACAGAACATACTGTTCAAATACAGAATACATGACAATCAATTTAAGAATTTTTATCAGTGTAATCCATTAAGACCATAATGGCTAAGCATAGAGTACACGGATGACTTAAAAATATAATATAATATACAATTTTTTCTACACTAGACTTAAAACTAGTATACATAATTCTCTCTGATTCTTTAGTTCGTTACATTTATTTTATTTTGATCTTAAAGTTTTTTTTAACAATATTCATTTTGTTTTTTTTTTACCAATTTTCAATTATTTTATCTATTTCTTTAGTTCCTAATGTTTTTAAATAAGTTTTAAAAATCAATTTTAAGAGATTAGTTGAGTTTAGTTTTCTTATATAAATTTTATACATATCAGGTAGGAAGTTGAACAAGCGGGGTGCTACAAAATCGAAATATCTCGTACCTATGGTTTTTTTAGCAGTATTTGTTTGTATAATCTTTTGTTTTAGTTCCAGTATGATAATGATGGCCAGGTGTTTGCAGTTAAGTGCGGTTTTGAAATAAATGAATAATTAGACTAAAAAGATATAGCTGCCTCAAAGACATTAGATTTGCTTCTTTAAAAAGATTAGTGTTAAATCTTAGATTTTTACAATACATAATTTTTAAAATTTTTCGTTGTAGGATTTCGACCTGTTCTAGATGACTTGGCAATGTACTTCCCCAACTTATGATGGAATATCTGAGACGCGATTCCACAAGTGCATGGTAAATTGTTTTTAGATGTGGTAAATTTAGTATTTTTCTTATATTTAAATTTATATAATAAAAACCTTAATGTTTTAGCTACGTTCGATAAGTGTGAGGTCCATCTTAAATGTGAATCTATTTTTACACCAAGATATTTGATTTCAGATTTTAAAGAAATTTCAGTAACCATATTGTTGTCCGTAATAATAATTTTATTATAAAGTGGTAATTTGTGTTTATAACTGGTAAACGGAACGATATTGGTTTTGTTGTAGTTAACCGTAAGCATTTTGTGTCTAAATATATCAAATATTTTTTTTACATCAGTTTCTATTCTATTTTTTAAATTTTCCCACGTTTTGTCACTATATATTACAGCAGTGTCGTCTGCAAAACCAATTACTTTCCCCGAAGAGTTAAAAGAAAATATATTATTAATGTACAAATTGAAGAGAATTGGTCCCAGTACGGTACCTTGAGGAACTCCAAACGATACAACTTTTTCTCTACTGAGTTCTCCATTTATCCTAACATGTTGTTTTCGGTTAGTTAAGTAGTCTTCGAAAAATTTGTATGGGAGTCCCCGTATCCCTGCATCATATAAGACGTCTAACAACTGCGAATGACTCACAGTATCAAACGCCTTAGCTAAGTCAAGGAACAGTACTGCTGTTGGTTCGGTTTTATCAATGGAGTTATATATTGAGGAAACCAAGGTCTTAATTGCATCATTTGTTGATAATATTTTCTGAAATCCATATTGTAGCTCTGACAATAATTTATGTTTGTCTATGAAGTCCATTAATCTTTTCTTTACAGTTTTCTTCAATATTTTGACCAACGTAGTAATTAGGGATATGGGTCTATAATTGGACATTTGATTTTTTTTATCTTTTTTATGAATTGGAGTGACGATAGCTGTTTTAAATATGGAAGGACAGACCCCACTAGCAAATATCAAATTTATGAGATCAGCAATGGGTCTTATTAGCTCGTTATGCAGTTTTTTAAATAACTCGGCTTTCAAGTTATCTACTCCCGGTGCTTTATTTATTTTAAGTGACAATATTATGTCTCTAATCTCTTCGTTAGTCACTGGTAACCAATAAAAAGTGTTACAATTCTTTTTCCGGGTTGGAGGAGCTACCAAAGCAAAATAATTATTAAATTTCTCCGCAATATCTTTTTTATCATTGACTCTTTCGTCCGAATTTGTGAGTATTTCATTAATATTATTGTTTTTTGTCCAGATTCCATAAATATTTTGTATTATTTTGTATTTCGGCTCGGTAGTAATTGCGTTTTGTAATTTTAATTAACTCATCTGTTTACGATAGTTGACGTATAAATGTTTTTTTTTTATTATTTGGATTTTGTTGATCTTCTTTATATAATTTATTTTTATGGTTTATTGACCGGACAAGACCTGTTCTTATCCAATTTGACGCTTTTGGTTGGTTGTGTTTAATTTTATTGTTTTTGTGTATTTTTTTAGGAATGTATTTAAAATATTTAGTAGTTCTTGGGCTTTTTGTTTGCATCGTTCATATTATAAAAAGTTTGCCAATTAAAATTTTGAAGCTCATTTTGAATTTTTTTATAGTTTATGAATGTTTTGTAATTACCGATGTTGGTATATTTAGTTTTAGCTATTATAGGAAAACTGATTATCGTAGCTCGGTGGTCCGTGATGTTATTTTCATATACAGAAGTAAATATAGTACATTTAAATATTTTGAAACATTGTCATTTTCATCTTTAATGTTTATATTAATATCACCAACTAATAGGTGAGAATCCAGTTTAGAATAGTTTATTTGTTCAAGATAACTTTCTAGACTCGAAATGAAGTTTTCAGGTGTAATTGATGGAGAGCGGTATATAGAAGTTAATAAAATGTGCTTGTTATTATGCAGATCAATTTTTATCTGTAATGCCTTTGAGTTGCCAATATCAATAATTGTGCCATCTGTGTTTAATTCATTTTTTACATATACAATTACACCGTCATTTTTATTTAACTGTCCCTGATTATAAAATGTCCTATAACCATCCAGATTAAAAAGATCAATATCTTGTATTTGAAAAGTATAATACAATCAAAATTGCAGCTTAGTTGTTCTAGCATTATTTTAAACTCGTCTAAATGTGCATTTAGACTACATATATTTTGATGTATTATGCTAAAATTATTTTCATTATTTTTGAAAAATCTATAGAATTAAAACATTCCACTGTGTTAAAAAGCTTATAATTTATGTCACGAATATATTGATTCATTTTTAAATAAAAACAAGAAACTTTATATGTTAAATATTGAGAAAGATCGAATAAATTATATAAGAAGGGAAAGTAAAAACAAAAGATTATAAAAACAGAAGGATCTAGGACTTACTACCAAAACGCGTCCTATGCTTTATTTCTTCTACCCTTGTCTGCTGGTTGATTTCGTTTTTGCTGAGTGAAGAGAGTGGTCTTGGTGGTTTTTGATTTGGAGTTGTTTTTTTCCTTTGCCTCGATAATGTTTTCAAAATGTTTTTTGGCTGTTTTATTTTCTTCAACTGTGGGATTAGTAAATTCTTCTTCGTGGGCGTTTCTTATATTTGGCGTAGGAGGAGCACTATTTCTCTCTCTTTGATATGACTCGTTTTCGGTGGTTTCTAGATCACTAGCTCTATATATCTTATTATTTATAAAGAGCTTATTACCTTTTATATAAGATTTGTTTGTAGGGATTTCGCGAGCTTTCTTTAGATGTTTTCGTAGAATAAAATTTTCTTCTCGTTGGGCTTCGGTTAAATCACTACTGATGCTTACATTACTTC